AGTGGTAGAGCGCTTTGCCTTGAGCTGAAGAGCTGAGGGACAGTGCCCAGGCCCAGAGTTCAGGCCCCATGACTGACAAAACAAAACAAAACAAAACACACAAAAACAACTGAACATCTCTCTGTCATCGAGAAACAAAATAGGGGGATGTATTTTCTTGTGTGTTTGCTTGTTTTGGTTTGCGAAGGGATATTTGGGATTCAGACACTGGGTGAGAGCCTGGACTGAAGTCCAGTTCTGATCGATTGGATACCCCCCAGGGAAAGAACACTCCCTTCCCCTTCCCTTTCCCCCCCCCCCTTCCTCCCCTCCCCTGTCTGTCTCTCCCTCCCTCCTTCCCCTCAAAGGTGTCAGCATGGCTGGAGCTCTCCCCACTCACAGGCACTGCCTATCATGTCTAATTCTGCCTTGTCGTCTGTTCCCCAGAGAGCTGAGCTGACCCCGGAACAGAAAGCCCTGAGCATCAAAGGAAGGTTCTGGAACGTGAGCTGCTACTTGTACCCATGATCAGGACCCGATGACACCCGGTGATTGCAGTAACATAGAACCCTGGTGGTAGCCCGTAGAACCTGGTGATGGTGGTGGTGGGGCCTTTGGGAGAACCGTAGGCCTCACCTGAGCTTAACCAGCTCTGCCCCACGTGGACAGGCACATCTGGAGCATTCACACTCATACACGAGCTATGGGTTGGGGTGGCCACCTGAGCAGACCCTGGCATGCTTGTTGGGATTCAAGGGCAAGACCAGGGAGAGGGAAGAAGCAGTTAAGAGGGCAGGTTTCACCCAACCGGCTAGCTGAACAGTAACTGGGATCTCAGCACTGAGAACGAATTGACACCTATCGGTCTGGGAAACAGGAATAACAAGGGCTGCTCGACAGGATTGTGTGAGAGAAAAATGCCACGGTGGATGCGAGAGGCCCAAGCTTCTTGCCCCTAAGCATCATTGATAACCAATCACCTCTGGCCATTCATCAGCTGACATACACAGCACAGACAGCAACATCCCAATCTTTACATCTGTCATCAGACCTCAGGTCTGCAATTATAAAGAAAAAAAAAATCTCACATTGACATGAAAAGAGTTTTTGGCAGTCTCATAAAAAAGCTCCAAGACAGCTGAATAATTTCATAATGACAGCAAAGTTATTAGTAAGTGGCTTTTAAAAAAAAAATAAGAAATAAGGAAGCCGGGTTTTGGTGGCTCACGCCTGTCGTCCCAGCTACTCAGGAGGCTGAGATCTGAGGATTATGGGCAGCAAAGTCTGTGGGACTCTGATCTCCAATGAACCACCAGAAAACCAGAAATGGTGCTGTGGCTCAAGTGGTAGAGCGCTCGCCATGAGCTGAAGAGCTGAGGGACAGAGCCCAGGCCCAGAGTTCAAGCCCCAACAACTGACAGACAATAAATAAATGAAATACATAAGAAATTTTAGGTGCTAGAAATTATCCTAAATGCTTCATATCGGTCACTTCATTTAATCTTAAAACCTCTCTGTGCCCATATCCTCCTGTTTAAGAGATTAGAAAACAGAGGCATTTATACCAGGTCACACAATCTGGAAATGACAAAGGTGACTCGTATACAGGTAATCTGATTTCCATTACTGTATTCTAGCACGTATGCCAAAGCCACCCCCCTGGGTGGAGTATGTAAGGTATGCTACTCCTAAGGCTAAGTTGGCCTTCTTCTATTTAGAAACATTTTAAAGTATAATGGTAGTAAATAAGGTTTTACCCCTTGACGTTCTGAGCAGAAATTGAGTTTGCCTTTTGTATACCATATGTTTTTGCAACCATACGTACAGAATGCAGTTTCTGTAATCTTATAATAATATTTTGTTCCATTGTTTCTATCGGTGGCTCAGAACCAAATGGAAATTACATTTTTAATTTGTGGAAAGAGGTGTTGTTTTTCTCCCTGAGTCCCCTGAGGGGAAATGGGAAAATGGTATAAGGAAAGTTTTTATATTGGTATTCTGAGCCTTAGCTCTCATTCATCTTGTATTTTTGCCAATAATTTAATTATTGCTATCCTCATGGCTTTTAAATTCTTGCATTCTTTCTCTCTTTCCTTTTCTCATTCTCTCTTTCTTTGCTTTGCCCTATACCTATAACCTTACTGGTTCTCTTCTTCCTGTCTCTTCCTCCTCTTACGTAGTACTTAGGAAACATTTCTCCTTGGTTTTATTTAAATATTATGTTGGGTTGCTTAGTCTATTAAAAATGGTTGGTTAAAGCCAGGTGCCGGGGGCTCGTTCATGCCTGTCATCCTAGCTACTCAGGAGGCTGAGATCTGAGGATCGTGGTTCAAAGACAGCCCGGGCAGGAAAGTCTGTGAGACTCTTATCTCCAATAACCCACTAGCAAACTGGAAGTGGTGTTGTGGCTCAAGTGGTAGAGTGCTCACCTTGAGCTGAAGAGTTAAGGGACAGCGCCCAGGCCCAGAGTTCAAGCCCCATGATTCCCCCCCACCCCCCCCCCCACACACTCCCCCGACACAAGGTTGCTTGAAATTAAGCATTGGTGGCTCATGTCTTGGGAGGTTGAGAATAAGAGGATCATGGTTCCAGGCTATCACCAGGTAGAACTCATGCCTGGGTAGGAAGTGAGATTCTACATGAAAAAATAACCAGTGCAAAAAAGGGCTAGAGGCATGGCTCCATGGTAAAGCACGTGTGTAGTAAGCAAGAGATCTTGGATTCAAACCATAGTACTGGGGCTGGGAAGGTGGCTCAGTGACAGAGCGCTTGCCTTGCATGCATGAGGTCCTGGGTTCAATTCCTCAGCACCACATAAGTGGAAAAAAAGCTGGAAGTGGCGCTGTGGCTCAAGGGGTAGAGCGCTCTCTTTGAGCTGAAGAGCCGAGGGACAGCACCCAGGCCCAGAGTTCAAGCCCCACGACCGACCAAAAATAAAAACTAGTACTACCAAAAAACAAATGCTTGGGAGGGATGGGTGAGGGCCAGAGATGCTGCTCAGTAGCTGAATGGTTCCCAGTTAATAAAAAGCTTTTGTACCTCATGGAAGTCCAGGATGACGAGAGTTACCAGGTTTATCGCCTCCAAAGAAAGCGGGGTACATGCATGGACATTTCCAAGTCGTCTTCACCCTTACCAACCTCTTGCTGGCGTCTCCAGCAGAGCAAGCGCAGGTCAGGGCTCTCCTTCCCTCTCACCCACCTCAGGCCTGGCCTGGCTAAGTCAAGAGATCCATCACAAAGGCATGTATAGAGGAAACATCCTCTCAGCCCAAGCTCTCGGGGTCTCGTCTCCAGAACGGAGTGAGTCTTTATACAGTGATATTGGCATTCAATTGGTAAGGCTCTGAGATCCACTTAGCAGTCTCCCCGCTAAAGACTGCTTAAACCAATGGTCGTACGGGTCTTCCGTGAGCAGAGATGCAACGTAAAGCATCCTCTGTCCCCCAGTTAATACTGTGGATATTAGCTCTTCCTTCATCAACGGAGTCTAGATCAGATTCTTAGAATTTCTTTTACTTTCTTTCTTTTTTTAATCAGTCCTGGGGCTTGAACTCAGGTCCTGAGCACTGTACCTGAGCTTCTTTTTGCTCAAGGCTAGGTCTCTACCACTTGGACCAGAGCGCCACTTCTGGCTCCCCCCCCCCCCCCCCCCCGTGTATGTGGTACTGAGGAATCGAACCCAGGGCTTCATGCGCGCTTAGGCAGGCACTCTACCACTAAGCCACCTTCCCAGCCCTCTCAGAATTTCTTGAGGCCCTACCTGCCCCTGCCCCTGTCCCCTTGGAAATCGAGACTTATCACATGGAACCCATTACAAAACCTCTGGAACGCTCACCCTCCACTTAACTGTAAGGTGTCTATAGGGCTTTCTAGTGGAGAGTACAGTCAGAACGTTGGACAGCTCCACCGCTTGGGGTCAGGGGTGCCCGAGAGGGAGATACCTGGTGATTGGTTCTATAACCAGACGAGGGGCTCTCATCGTTGATCTCCAGCTCTGGTCCTGGGAACACGATTTCTTCTTCCTGCTCTTCACTCTCTTCAGAACAGGAATCAAACCCATCGGCATAATACTCCTCAGCTGTCAGCGTGTCTTCGGGTATCTCTGGAATGAGGAATGAGGAGCCATAGTCATTACTCCCCCCGTGCTTCGCCCACAGATGTGTGTTCCATTCTGATCATACCGACAAAGTTTCCACACGACACAGCTGGACCTCAGCTTGCCGCCAGATATAAACACTCAGCAAAACTAGTGAGGGAAAAGGACGCTTGGGTGCGTGACTATCTCTGGAAGGCAGGCCACCAAAACCATGAAACAAGAAGAAATCATCATCTACTTTTTTGTTGTTGTTGGTCATGGGGCTTGAACTCTGGGCCTGGGCGCTGTCCCTCAGCTCTTCAGCTCAAGGCGAGCGCTCTACCACTTGAGCCACAGCACCACTTCCAGATCATCTACTTTTAATGTAAACTCTCTTCATCTGAAACAGGAACAGAATCCGACAAGATGCACGGTAGAAGGGCCAGATAACACAAAAACACAAAGGTGTTAGCAGAGGCAGTAAGAAGATTACAGGAATATTCTTCTACAAGTTTGTTGTTCTTTGTTAATAAAAGAAAATGTGAGTAGTGAGACCAAAGATCTAAAAGATACGACATTATGTCATCCTGACATTTTGACAAGCTTGGGAAAACATCACAGTTCTCTTCTCACAGGCTAAGAAGGCTTCTGAAAATGAGTTCATTTTCTCTGGGTCCTATTTACACCTACACACACATCTTTGTTGTTTCTGTTTTGTTTTGTTTTAAAGAATACCCACTTAAACGGATGTCAATAACTCAAGCTACTTGATGCAAGGTTATTAGTAACTAAAATAGACTCAGTGTGCTTACAGCACTCTTCCAAAAGCGAGCCCAAGAATGGATCACCATGAAGCATAGCAATATAAACTGTAATTTGCTAATAGGGGCCAGAAATAGAGAAAACCTTTGGATGGGGAGGGGAGGAAATTACATAATGATCTTATGCTACAGTAAAACAGCAGGCATTTTAGACTTTGCTCATAAAGTTATTCTGAACTATAATACAAAGCACTAGTTTTCAATTTATTGTAGATGCTGATTTCCATCTAGCGAGGAAAAGCCTGGAATCTGGGGTCTGAGGATTAGGAGTTGAGTACCTTTATTACCTTGTATATAAAAATCTGGGCAAAGGCTCACGCCTGTCATCCTAGCTACTCAGGAGGCTGAGATCTGAGGATCATGGTTCAAAGCCAGCTTGGGCTGGAAAGTCTGTGAGACTCATCTCCAATAAACCACTCACAAAACCGGAAGCGGCACTGTGGCTCAAGTGGTAGAGCCCTAGCCTTGAGCTGAAGAGATGAGGGACAGCGCCCAGCCCCAGAGTTCAAGCCCCATGACTGACTCCCCCCCCAAAAAATATATCTGGGCAAGATATTTAAACCTCGGGACCTCCAGATTTCTAGATAAGAATACTCTAGCTGTGAAGATTCAGTAATAGGGTGCTGGTGGTTCACACCTGTCATCCTAGCTAGAAGGCTGAGATCTGAGGATCACGGTTCAAAGCCAACCCAGGGCAGGAAAGTATGTGAGACTCTTATCTCCAGAGAACCACCAGAAAACCAGAAGTGGTGCTGTGGCTCAAGTGGTAGAGCACTCACCTTGAGCTGAAGAGCTGAGGGACAATGCCCAGGCCCAGAGTTCAAACCCCGGTACTGGCATAAATAAGCAAACAAACAAATAAATTAACAAATAAATAAGGTACCTCTGAAAGCTTCTGAATAATCAATTTATGAAAATAGTCTTTTTAACCAGATTCTAGTGGCTATAATGCTAGCCACTCAGAATGCTGAGATCTGAGGATTGTGGTTCAAAGCCTGCCTGGGCAGGAAAGTCTGTGAGACTCTTATCCCTGCCCTCTCCAATGGGGGATGGGGGAGGGATTTTTAGGAGGAAAAAAAAAAGTGTTTTAATCAATTCCAGAATCCTTTGAACGTAGAATACTTCACAGATGTAGAATTCTCTGACAAGACTTTAAAAATCTGTTGTTTCTTAAATCTATGTTTTCCTACAACAATATGAGAGATTACACAGAATCAAAATTAGTCAGCCAAAATGACAAAATTACATATATTCAAAGCGACGGTGGCAGTCTTCGGAGGAGGCATATGGAGGGCTCTGGTGTATTTAGTCATTTTAACACAGCCTGTTTCTCTTCGGCTCGCTGATTCTCAAGTACCAGCTGAGCATGGAGGAGTCGTGTTTTACCAAAGTCTTCCTTCACTTCACATTCAGATGACAAGATAATCACAGCAGGAGAAGTCCATTAAAGCTAAAAATCCACCAAGAGATTTCGAGTTTCTCCATCCGGTAGGAGCATCCTCAGGATGGAACGGGAGAATTCTGGGGCTTCTATTTGACATCCTCTTTCTCCCCTTCCTTGTCTCCCCCTCCCTGACTTCTAATTTCACAGTTGCCCATTTTCTCTCTCTCCTACTTGCTCTGAGTCGTCTGTTTCTCATACACTTACTTCATTCCTTTATTTTCGCTGTCCTTTTCCTTTTTTATTTTTTCTTTATGCCTCTCTCCTCCTCCTTTGCTTTCAAACTTCTGGGGTATTTTGAGTATTTCACTGGAAGAAATATAACTTACAGCCAAGTGCTGGTGGCTCACGCCTGTCATCCTAGCGACTCAGGAGGCTGAGATCTGAGGATCACGGTTCAAAGCCAGCCTGGGCAAGGAAAGTCCGTGAGACTCTTACCTCCAATAAACTACAGAAAACCAGATGTGGCGTTGTGGCTCAAGTAGTAGAGTGCTTGCCCTGAGCTGAAGAGCTGAGGGACAGCGTCCAGGCCCAGAGTTCAAGCCCCACGACCAACATTAACAACAAAAAGACAAATTCAGCCACAACCACTCTCCTGCAAGTGCTCAGTTACTCTGTGATGAGATCACCGAGCATTTCTAACACAGAATGTGTCCACTCTGGATGAGTCCAAGGGCCTGTTTCCCCTGGGTTGGGTTTCTAAGTGGCCCTGAGATGGGGGTCCCTTTCTGCCACCCCAGCCGGCACCCTGTCCACCACCCCTAGACCCCAGGCCCCACAGAGAGAAGATGCAGCCTCAGGCCCTTGGAAGGGCTCCGGTTTCCCCAGTCCTGGCCTTACTGGGGGGAAGGAGGAAGCCACACCCTCCCACCAGCTCCCCAGGCCTCATCTCCTAGTCTGCGTGAAGCTTTTACTCTATCTCCTTTGGCACAGAATCTGCACGTGTAGGGTGCATAGATACCCACTCCACCGTCTAGTTCAGAGGAAGGCAGCTCCCCCACAATCCCAGAGGGGGACAGGTAACTTTCACGGCACCATGCTGATCAAATCCACGGTGGCTATAATATCATTCATCGCAAATGGAACCGAACCTCCACCGCCAGCCGTACCACCTTTCAGTCCTGGGAAGGGGTTGTGATGACTTGGCATTCTACCCCTTTCTGTGCTTTCTTCTTCCACATGACAAGCTATAGGTTAGTACCCTGACCTTTTCTAAAATAAACCCTGAAAACTCCAGGCTAAAATTAACTATGTTGATTTGCTTAGCCCACGGCATCGCACATGAGGCTGCGAAAAGAAATGATGTTCTTAGCCAGAATGCATATTCATGACCTTTTCTGTAAGGAAGGCTAAATTTAAGTACAGTACCTGTTTTATATATAGGACAGTAGGTTCTGCCGCGTTCCTGAGTGACAATCTTCTCTCTCTCTCTCTTTCACACACACACACACACACACACACACACACACACACACACACACACACACACACACACACACACACACACACACACACACACACACACACACACACACACACACACACACACACACACACACACACACCCCTTTGGGAAATGTCTCCCTTGAGCTCTAGCATCTGGGATGTTATCCTGTCAAGATGATTTCCCTTAGGCAAAAATTGTAAGAGTTCTCTGAACAATTTTCTTTTCTGCTTTGGAGAACAGAAGCCAAAGTGGCTAGGTTAAAAAAAAAAAAAGAAAAGAAAGAAACTGTCGTTTCTCAACTAGATGAATGATTCCAGGCCAGAAAATCCATTCTGTCCAGTGGAGTGAGGTTATTTGCCCAGAGAGCCTGAAGGAGCTGGTACTCTGTAGCTGGGTACTGGGGTTGGTGGCAGAATGCACCTAGGTCTGTGGCTTTCGGCAATCGGTTTAGTTTCCCTGGGCCTCAGATGACTTAGCTACACATTAGGGATAGTAACAGCTCTGTTGCCTCCAAGGTACGGTCTGAACTACATGATTTCAGGTTGCTCTGCTGCTCCAAGGTTTAATAATTGGTGGCATTGGCTAGGCTAGGGTCTTAGCCATTCTAGGATGCTCGGCATCTCCTAAGTGGGGATTCAGGGACTCTGCGGGTGAATATAAGGGTACACAAAAACACAATCCAGGGATGGGGAAGGTGGCTCAGTGGTAGAGTGCTTGCCTTGCATGCATGGGGCCCTGGGTTCAATTCCTCAGCACTCCATAAGCAGAAAATAAAAGCCGGAAGTGGCACTGTGGCTCAAGTGGTAGAGTGCTGGCGTTGAGCTGAAGAGCTGAGGGACAGCGCCCAGACCCAGAGTTCAGGCTCATGACTGGACCCAAAAAAACAAAAACAAAAAACACAGTCCAGTCCAGTCAGTGTGCTTACATCACCCTGAAGGGACTTGATGGAATTCGTGATGATGGTCAGGCTACAAAAGCCTAAGTAGCCCTACTTTGGGTCGTGAAAGAATAGATCATCAGGCGGCTGGGAAGGTGGCTTAGTGGTAGAGTGCTTGCCTAACATGCATGAAGCCCCGGGTTCGATTCCTCAGTACCGGATATACAGAAAAAGACAGAAGTGGCCCTGTGGTTCAAGTGGTCGAGTGCTAGCCTTGAGCAAATGAAGCTCAGGGGGATTGGCAAAAACAAAAACAAAAATAGATCATCATAAAAAAAAAAATAGACCATCATGTTCTGTTCCTGGCCAAGTACTTGTCAAAATGTTCTCAAAGGTAGATGATTGATTGATTAATTGACTTATTTGTTTGCTTGCTAGTCGTGGGGCTTGAACTCAGGGCCTGGGCACTGTCTCTGAGCTTCTTTGGCTCAAGGCTAGTGCTCTACCACTTGAGCCACAGTGCCACTTCTGGCTTTTCCTGTGTATGTGGTACTGAGGAATTGAACCCAGGGCTTCATGTATGCTAGGCGAGCACTCTACCACTAAGCCACATCCTCAGCCCCCACCCTCTGTCCTGTCCCCCCTGTCCCCCCCCCTTAGACGATTTAAATTGCTACCGAAGGCCTCTGTCCCAAACTGAACTCACTACGGTTTCTTTCAGGCTGGAGTACATTTGGCAACTTGTTCACTGGCAGAGAAAGCATCTTGTAATCCAAATAGGATTTCCTCCTTGATGAAATCCTAGAGCCATAATTTTGTTTTTCTACCTCCAGGGGAAAAAAAAAAAGTTGTTTTTTTTTTTTCCACCTCCTGGAAAACATGTGTCTCCCATTGGCAGTCCCACTGCTAACTAGCCAGCTGGAGACAGACAGGAAACTGCCAGAGGATGCTTGCTTGGTATATGGCATTCCTTGCTCACTGATAGGAAGAAGAAATGTTAATAGAACAAGATAGGCCATGATCACAGAACCACAAGGGTAGTCTGCCCAGATATTATGGGGCATGGTTTTCATTAAAAATTTCCATTTCAGGGCTGGGAAGGTGGCTCAGTGGTAGAGTGCTTGCCCAGCATACATGAAGCTCTGGGTTCGAGTCCTCAGTACCACATACACAGAAAAAGCCAGATGTGATGCTGAGGCTCAAGTGGTAGAGTGCTAGCTTTGAGCAAAAGCAGCTCAGAGACAGTGCCCAGGCCCTGAGTTCAAACTCCAGGACAGGCAAAAAAAAAAATTCATTCAAGAAAGTACTGATTATACACATCAATTCAGGCCAAGTTTTCTGGCTGTACTTACTAGAAGCTTCTATAAGCTGGGTAATACCCTGGGTAATCTGCCCATGGTTGAATTGGGTACTTCCTGCTGAAATGCTGACTTGGTCCTACAGATCAAAGTAAACCCAAGTTCAAAAGCCAGGCACCAGTGGCTCACACCTGTCATCCTAGCTACTCAGGACGAAAAATACATGAGATTCTTATCTCCAATAAACTACTCAGAAAAAGCCGGAAGTGGCGCTGTGGCTGAAGTGGTAGAGTGCCACCTTGAACTCAAAGAGGCTTAGGAACAGCCAGCCCCCAGGCCCTGAGTTCAAGCCCCAGGACAGGCCAAAAAAATCTCCCTTTCCGCCACTTTTCACTAAAATGGACATACTACAGTTTAAAATTTTTATTTACTGAATAATTAATAAGGTTGAATTATTATGAGCCGTTTGTGGCAGTTCTTCATGAAATCACCCATTTTCTTTGTTGATTTTTCGTTTGGGCAGTTTGTCTTATTGAAGAGAATAGATAATCACGATAGTTTAAATATTACAAAATGCATGCTTTGTAAAAGTTATATTTTCTTAACCTGTTGCTCCTTATTTATCTCTTGATTTTTATTACATTTTGGGCTAGACCGAAGTTTTTTTTTTTTTTTTTGTCGGTCATGGGGCTTGAACCCTGGGCCTGGGCGCTGTCCCTCAGCTCTTCAGCTCAAGGCTAGCGCTCTACCATTGAGCCACTGTGCCGCTTCCAGTTTTTCTGCTTATGTGGTGCTGAGGAATCGAACCCAGGGCCTCATACATGCAAGGCAAGCACTCTACCACTGAGCCACCTTCCCAGCTGTATTCTTATATAAGCAATACTTTTAAGACTTTGTGCTTCTTGGATTTATTTCAGGATTGTAAATTATTCTCCAAATTTTATATTTATTATTTGTTTAATGCCTTATGAATTTAAGGTTTTAGTTTACTAGAATTTATATGGGCAGTATACAGCAGGAATCTATTATTTTTTCAACAAGATCATTTACTTAATATGAATCTTCTTTTTCATTAAATAAAGCATTTTTCATAAAAGAAATTTATACACATACCTGGGCAAGTTTCTGGATCCTTTATTTTGATCTATTGATCCCTATTGTTGCCTAAGTCTTATGGATTACTGATAGGCATTTGCAAAAAAATAGGAGTTTCATATCACAGTAGAACCTAGATTATTTTTTTACTGATCACCATTTTCAATAGTCTATCCACTATTATAAAGAAATAATTATTATGATGCTTTCAACTCACCCAGGGCTTGCAATATTTTACCATATATAATCTTCACCAAGTTCATTAAGCAAATATGTATTTGGTATATCTTACAAGTCACTAATTATACTGATTTGTAGGTATGAAAATGATCAAAATTAGCAGAGCTTATGATCAATGGAGCGGGTAAAAATTTCTCATACACATTCTCAAATATATACATACAGTATATATAAACCTCTCTCTCCTGTCTCCTTCTCCTTCTCCTCTCCCTTTCTGTCTGAATGTGTTTGTGTATATGCATGTGTGCCAGTACTGGGATTCGAATTCAGGGCCTCATGTTCAAACTTGCCTTGTTTGCTCAGGCTGGCACTCTACCACTTAAGCCATAGCTCCACTTCCAGCTCTTTTGCTGGTTTACTGGAGACAGTCATGGGAACATTTCTGCCCGAGCTGGGATCCTCAGATCTCAGCCTCCTGAGTAGCTAGGATTACAGGCGTGAGCCACCGGCGCCCGGCTCACTTCTAGTTCTATGTATGTAGATACTATCTGTGAGCGCACGGCTGTCAGAAGTGCAATGGAGGAGAAAAACAAGATTCTGACCCCAGTTCCCTGGGCCCCTCCAAAAATGTGTTTCTTCCATCAGTATGGTGCCTTTGTCAAGAACGCCTCATTTTTCACTCGACTAAAAATAGTTTCGTATCTTCACAGGAGAAAAATGAAACAAAAGACAGCCGGGCCTTCGCTCAGGAATGTAACTGGATAAACGAAAATAAAGAGTGCTGTAGATGCGTAATTCATCGACACTGTCGTCGAGTGACCCATCCGAGGATACGTGCTGAGCTCTCTGGGCACAAGGGGTAGAGCATCGCAAAGCTTCCCCTTTATCACGATAAAAGCTAAATATAAACCTGCTATCATGTGTTGATTGCGTTTGCTGAGACGAACAGCTCTCAAAGGACGAATTTTCCTGAGAGACTGAGGAGTAACGCCAAATAATTTATTAGCTCATTTGCATCTTATTTGGGATTCCTCAATGATGAACAAACGGCTGTGCCTACTAGCCCATGTGGAAGCCAGGCCCTGGGGTGATTGATTTAGAAAGTCCCGAGCTCTCTGGGAGACACAGAGAAGTAAATGAATGTATTTTCGCCAGGTAATTATCCCCCGAGGAGGCTCCTTCAGACAGTTTCAGGATATGGCAAACTTACCTACTTAGCACATAAAATGATGTTGGTTCAAGTATCAAAGTACGCTATCTCAGTAAGACTGCAGATTTTTTTTAA